TTTACAATTTAACATTTATTATTTTACAGTTTTACATTATTGTTTAATAAACATAAAGCAAATTTATCATTTGCATGTGTTATGTATAAAACTTGTGATGTACATGGTTTATGGTTTTTATTTATTTAAAATTTAAATACATCATTAAAGAATATGTGTTTCATGTGTGTGAATTCTACCGAGATACTTTTTGATGCATTTTATATACTATTTATGAAAGTTTTATAAATTTTTTTTACATTTATTTTAATCAATAAATATTATTATAAGTTTCCATTTATTTTTAAAACAAAATGTAAGAACAATTCTAAAAATTGACTGGATTATTTATGTATAATTTCTAAAACAGAATTTCAAAAATAAAAAATTAAACTGTTTTTTTTTTATTTTGATTTAGAAGAGATCTAAAGCATATCCAATTGTTATAATTATACTGTAAGTGGTGTACACTAAAAAAATATTAAAATTCTTATTTTACTTACTTATATGCGATTTTTTTTTTAAATTAAAAATTTGTTTTATTATTTAAAAGTATTTTTTTGTAATATTTAGTGGCTAATACTGTAAAAGCATATGAGGAGCATACTTTGTAATTGAACAAAATTTAATGTAAACAAAGAACAAAATTTGTAATTTTCAGAAAAGTAGCCCAAAATATGAGTCTTTCTACACTGAACACTATTCCATCTGAAACTGAAAAAAATTAAATTTTGAACAAAATTCATTTTGGAAGTCTGCTCCTCATATACTTTTAATGAATTGCTTTTATTTCGCAATTTTATTTTAGCTTTAATTTTTTTCATGACTATGGTCCACTTGATTCTACAACTACTTTGGAGCGTTTGTAGTGGAATGTACTCTATATAACTATACTGTTTTGTACTACGAGGTCTGGCTATTAAATAACGAAACTGCTTATGAAAAAGAGTTTTATTTTAAAAATTATTCTACAATTGAATGCTCCCCTTCAATGTACTCCCCTCCCCTCGCCACACACCGTTCCATTCGTTTTTTCCATTGGTCAAAGCAATGCTGGAAGTCTTCTTTTGTAAGAGCATTTAGGAGCTCCGCCGATTTTCGCTTCACCTTTTCCATCGACTCGAAGCGGGTTCCTTTTAAGGCAGACTTGATCTTCGGAAACAGGAAAAAGTCACAGGGTGCTAAATCAGGCGCGAGTTCGAGCACTGGAGTGCCTCTAGCGGCTAAATAACGCTTCACAGACAGCGCGTTATGGGCAGGTGCGTTGTCCTGGTGTAAGATCCACGACTTGTTTTTCCACAACTCCGGCCGTTTCTTACGAACTCGCTCTCGCAGTGTTGCCAAAACTGTCAAATAGTAAGTTTGGTTTACAGTTTGACCCTCTGGAACCCATTCAGTCATCACGATGCCGTTGATGTCGAAAAAAACGATTAGCATGGCTTTAAATTTTGATTTCGACATCCTTGCTTTTTTCATTCTTGGCGATGCAGGAGTTTTCCAGTGCATGGATTGCCGCTTAGTTTCAACATCGTATTGGAATATCCAGGTTTCATCGCAAGTGATGATGTTTTCCATCAATTCAGGCTCTTCATCTAACCTCTCAAGAAAATTTGAGCAAATCTGTTGACGGACGAGCTTTTGGTCAGGGGTCAAATTTTTTGGGACCAACTTCGCACAGACTTTCTTCATGTTTAATTCGTCATGTAAAATTTTTCTGACAGTTTCTTTATCGGCGTTTACAGTCTCAGCAATCATCCGAATGCTCATACGACGATCTCCGCGCACAATTTCATTGATTTTGGTCACTGTTTGCGGAGTTGAAACAGAGACAGGTCGACCTGGACGTTGGTCATCTTCGGTGCTCTCTCGGCCTTCAGAAAACCGTTTATACCATTCGAAAACACGCGCACGAGATAGAGAATTCTCACCATAGGCCTCTTTCAACAACTTATAGCACTCAGTCGGAGTTTTTTTTAATTTAACGAGAAATTTCACATTGATCCGTTGCTCGTGTTTTTCGTCACACATTGTTATCGGCACGAGAAAAAAACAAGTTCGTTTCTAACCTCTATAGAAAAAATACTACTATTGCGACAAAAACGTGTTTTCGTACTGGAATAGTAGACACTTCCAGCTATCCAACGCTGCATTCGTTTCCCACCCTACCCCTCTAGGACGCCTTCTGCGCGCGCAGTCTCGTTATTTAATAGCCAGATCTCATATATCTATACATGTTCATTGCATCATGATTTTTTCAAAATAATGAAAATAATCTTCTTTTGATATTGTTTTATAAATATTTAAACATAATATATTGTGCCTTTTAATTATTATTTATATATACATGCTGCTTTTATAATAAAATTGCAATCAAAAGAAATGCTATTTTTGTTTTTGTTACAACTTTTTATATTTGTCTGTAGAAATATCTTTACGTTGCCGCATTCATCATCCATGCGGAATTGAATATCTAACATAGACGCGGAACCTGGATTTCAGTTAAATGTTTTACAAGCACTTAATAAATTGAAAGAAGAAGAGAAGATTATTCGCTGATATTTGATAGTATGACACTTAAACACGCCATTCAATGGAATGAGCATAATCACAACTGCAGTGAATTTAGTGAATATGACAATAACACATCAGTTGGAAAAAAAAGGTAGAAACTCAAGAAGTTGTAGTATTTTAGTAGTTTTATTAGTATTTTTAAAAGGAATATAAAAATAGCCTATTGTTTATTTTTTCATGAAAAAAATGTCATCAACAATGCTTTCCGAACTTTTAAAATCTGCTTTGATTTTATGCTCTGAAAATAAACTCCGAGTGCATAGCCTTACATTCAATGGTGATACATCCAATTGTTCCGCTGTAAATAAACTCGGAGCACAAATATTTTCTTCAAATTATAAAGACATTAAATATTATTTTTCATATATTAGTGACGGAAAAGAACACATTGTCAAGGTTATATTAGATCTCTGCCATATGCTTAAATTAGCTCGAAATGCATTAGCGTCATATAAAGAAATTGAGAGTCCTGAAGATATTATAAAATAGGATCATATCGTCAAATTGCATTTATTGCAAAAACAAATGACTTTAAAACTAAAAAATAAATTATCATCTCATCATATCAACTGACATCAGAATAAAATAAAGGTGAAATATGCAACGCAAAGTTCATTCAAAAGTTGTAATACGCACTCTTAGTTCATCAGCAGCAAATGCAATAGAATTTTTTAAGACTGAAAGATTAGAAGAATTTAAGGATAGTTCTGCTACAATTCAAGAAAAATAGATGGTATATTATATATATTTGACTTCTTGAACTCCAGAAATCCTTTCGGGAAGGGTTTCAAAAAATCTATATTTAAACAAAACATAAAACATTTAAGACATATGGTCAACAAAACGATACGATATTTATTTTCCTTAAAAACAATAGATCAATCTTTGTATAATCCTACTCTAAAGCGTGTATTTATATATAGTTTCTCAATTGCTACACTTTCAATTTTGGACATAATTTCTGATATTTTAAAAAACAATCCATCCTTTAAATATATATTAAGCTACAAATTTTTTCAAGATTACATCGAAAAATTCTTTTCTAAAATTCGAAGACGTCATAGCTTTAATAATAATCCAACATGTGATCAATTTAAATATACAATGAGACAACTGTTCTTGTATGCAGATAAAGCAAACAATAAATGCCAATTGTTTTGAGTTTGATACAGATTATGTAACATCTATTTATCCTTTAATGTGGAAAGAAAAAACAGAGGAAAAAAAGGAACAAGACTCCGTAGAATTAGGGATTAATAATGAAAATAAACATGATACTGATAGTGATAATAAATGTGAGGGATCTATTTTAAAAAGTACACAATCTGGCTCACTAAATTCTATAGTGAAAAGTATTACCAAAAATATAATTTATTACATCAGTGGATATATTGCAAAGAAATTAATATCTATTACGTGTTACTCTTGTGTCACAAATTTAAGGGCAGCAGAATGTGAGCATAATTATTTACGCAAAAACAAAAATTTTTCTAAATTTTTTGCTTTTTCCAATCATGGTGGTTCAATTAAGCTTTCATTATCTATTTTTCTTATATGTAAAAAAAAAAAACAGAAAAGCAATTACAAATTGTAACAAAATTCTTTACTGAATTACATAAAAAAGATATAGATAAAAAAGTTATTAATAAAGTTCGTAATATTTTTGCCTTAGATAAAATAATTTTTCAAACAGAATGCGAATTAACATATTCGAAATACCTCATAAAATTCAGCTGATAATAGCAGTAGCTTCCAAATATTGCAAAATACGGATGCATTCTTATGTAAAATTTTATTTTCAAGAAATTTTAAAACCAATTCGGAAACGACAAAAATTAACGAAAACATTATTATTTTTAAGAGAATAATAACAAATGTATATATGATACTCTTTCTTTAAAAATTCTCTAGCATTTGTTACTGACGAATCAATTTAATACTTTTAAATTAATTATGTAAAATATATATAGATGCATGGAGGGATAAAAGCTGTAATAATGTATAAATTATTTTCATGATTTCAATAAACCAAAGACTTTCTTAATATTTTACATATTTTTTTACATATTTGCTTCAGTAGATCGAGACTAATGGTCTCAAGTCGATAGGTTTAAGAAAGTGATTTATATCACTTATTTATGTAACATATGTAATCACAAATATGTGTATCTTACATGTATATATGTATATATATATATATATACATTCTGTCAAAAAAGTACCGGGAATTGATCATTTAAAAAGCCCGCTTAAAGGAATTGTCAAAATTCTTTTTGTCGTTAAGTTGGCATAACTGTCCTCTATACTGACGCGGAGCTGGAGTGCCATCTGTCATTTAATGTGATTATCGTGCTCGATTTTATCAGTTCATCTCAAGTGTGTTTTGCGATTTTTACAATGAATGAAAAGATCGAATTTGTCTCAAATTTTGTATTGCAAATAGAATTTCGTGTGCCGAATCGCTGAAGATGTTACAGAAGGCTTACGGTGAATCGACTTTATCAAAAACACGTGCATATGAATGGTACAGTGCATTGAAAAGCGGTCGAGATGTGGTGAAAGATTTGCCTCGCTCTGGTCGGCCATCAACGTCTTCAACTGAAGTTAACATCGATAAAGTGAAGGAAATGGTGATTGAAAATCGTCATTTCAGTTTGAGAGAGATAGCCGCTGAACTTACGGTGTCTCACGAATCAATTCGTACCATTTTACGCGATTGTTTGGGCATGGAACGCGTTGCCGCTCGACTAGTTCCGAAAGACCTCAATTTTCTTCAAAAACTCAATCGCGTAAAGGTCGCTGAAGACATGTTAGAACGAGTTAATTCCGACCCCACATTCATAAAACGCATTATAACTGGTGATGAGACATGGGTTTACGAGTTTGATATGCAAACCAGTCAACAAGCTTCGGAATGGCGCCTTCCAACTGAGCCAAAACCGAAAAAACCACGTCAAAGTCGATCAAAAGTCAAAGTGATGTTAACTGTTTTCTTTGATTGTCGCGGTGTTGTGCACTCGGAGTTTTTGCCAGAAGGTCAGACGGTAAATAAAGAATATTATCTGGGCGTTATGCGGCGTTTGAGAGAGCAAATTCGTCGAAAAAGGCCAGATTTGTGGAAAACAAACTCATGGATTTTGCACCATGATAATGCACCATCTCACAAGGCTATCATTGTGAACGAATTTCTGACCAAAAACTCAACAAATATCATCGAACAACCACCGTATTCACCAGATATGGCTCCGGCTGACTTTTTTCTCTTTCCAAAACTCAAATTACCACTTCGGGGCACTCGTTTTCAGTCGATAGAAGACATAAAAGAGAATTCGCGTCGAGAACTGAAGTCGATTTCGGAAAATGCGTTTAAAAAATGTTTTGATGATTGGATTATTCGTTGGCATAAATGTATTATTTCGAAAGGAGTCTACTTTGAAGGCGATACAATAAATTTGAATGAATAATAACTATTTTGTGTTTTATTGACCAATTCCCGGTACTTTTTTGACAGAATGTATATATATATATGCGTGTGTGTATGTATGTATAATAAAAAATTATTAATATTATAATTCGTATTTATTACTCATTTAGATATAATGATTAACAGTATGAATAGAACAGTACGATTTTGAAGTAATATTTATTGAATTTTTTGAGAAGAAAAAATTATAAGATCATATATATCTGACAATGAATACTTTTGAACACATTACAGATTAAGGGATAAAGAACAAATCTTTTTGTATATTTATAGTTCTAGAACGCACAAATAATCGAATACATGCCAAATACATATGTGGTAAGTAGAATGTAAAAATATTAATTGTATTTGTACAGAATTTGATATT